CCGCGGCTCGCAGCGCCGCACCCCCCGGAACCCCGCGCGCTGTCCCGGCCGCGCGCACGGCGCACTCGCGCTCCGGAGCCCCTCCGAGGTGGAGTCCCGGACCTGGGGGCTACGGGGACCCAAGGAAACCCGGATTGTCGGGGGCAAAAAAAAAAAGACAAAGGCTGGCGGATGACGACGTCCCCTGGCTCACCTGCAAAGGGACGTAGTTGACGTTAATAAACTGCACCGGGGTCCAGACGCGCCAGTTCATCTGCAGCGCCGGCCAGAACCGGCTCCTCATCGTGGCGGCGCAGGCGGCGGCGGCCTTGCCCTGGAGCGGGGAAAACGCGGGGGGACCGGTCGCCACCGCGCTCGACTGGGATCGCGGCACCGAGGATTGGGGGCCCGAACCCTAACACACCCGGGGGGTTCGAAACCGTGGATTTTGTCCCGTTTACACGGAGACAGCACACACGTGTGCGTAGCGGCGCGGCTACACCGAGCTAAGCTTCCAGTTGGAAAAGCATCTGAACGGCGCACGCCGCTCACACTGCGGGCGACGCTCGTCCACGAGCCTCAGCGCCCCTTACGGAGCTGACCTGATGATGTGACGAATGCTGCTCGCTGGCCTGGGCACCAGAACTGCTACTTATGACCCAACTGTCAATGCCTCCCAAAATAATCTCCAAAGTGGATGCATTTCCAATTGAAACTTGTCGCTTTTTTTTCTAAATGGACCCCAATAAATTGATTCTAAATGTCATCAGAAAGGATAAATACATAATAGCCACAATGAAAAAGAATAACGAGAGAAGGCCTCTCCTGCTACAAAGATAAAAAATACTATAAAATATGGTCATTAAAAGTCTGGTAGCAACAGCCAAAAAGTGTGTGTGTGTGTGTGTGTGTGTGTGTGTGTGTGTGTGTGTGGTGGAAATGAATAGAAGCCATCAAAAGAACAGAGTCCAGATGATGGCCTGTACATATGGGAATGAGAATATGATTAGTTAATGTTTCAAAATACCAGGAATTGCTCAATAAATGGTAATGAGACAATTTTCTATTTAAGTGGAAAACAAGACAGAAGTATATCTCCCACTATAAATAAAAATAAAACTATAAGAATACTAGAAGCATAGGAGCATATTTCTGTTATCTTTGGGTTTGTCAAAATGTACAACATAAAATCATAAGAGTAGAAGAAAGTGTAGGAGGATGTTTCCAACACCTTCCTTTAAGGAAGCACACGAGGGAAACGACAGATCTGATCATGTGGGTGTTTTTTAAAACTCCTCTGTGGAGAAAGATATTATAAACTTATATAACTTATTCGCTTTATACAAATGTTTTAACTTTATACGAAGTTAGAAGGCAAATACCTAAAAAATGGGGAAGATGTTTGTAACTTGTACTTGGCAAAGGATTGATATCCTTAACATACACAAATATATGAATCAGTAGGACAAAAAACAAGCACTCTAATAGAAAATCAGCAAAGTTTGCAGAAGCAATACCGGTAAGCATATAAAAGGTGTTTGGCTTCATAAATACATAGAAAATAACTTTCACTTATCAGATAGCAAACTACTTAAAAGAAAAATACAATCGTGGTTATCAAGAGTGTGGTGAAATGGACCCCACAAGGGACAAGCCCGCAGGGCTAAGCCCCGGAGTCAAGGACTCGCAAGTTACAGGGACCAAGTTACAGGGACCGTAATAAGCCAGTTACGTGCCCCGCGGGCCTCGGCTTCCTCAGCTGTCAAACGGGGGAGAGGCGAGCTAAAGTGCCGTGAAGCACTCGCCGCAGCGCTCGGGACAAGGCAGGTGCTCGATGTGTGTCCGCAGTTATTATTGTGTGCCACTGCACAGTCAAGCAAGGACAGCCTTTTGGGACAATTCCAGGAATTAATCGACTAGGAATCCTTACACAGGAGGGACCGGCATGTGGTGAAATGCTGTGCAGTCTGTACCGTGATGTCTGTGACCCAAGAATGCTGCAGCCGACCTGCGCGTGTGATTGTGTGGTCCCACGTATGTCACTTACGTGTCGGGCACTGGACATAAACGTGCGGGATTTTTGTTTTTAGTGAGAACATATTCCCTTCACATTTGGAAGGAAACAGAGGAACCGCTGTGGCGCCCTCACTTCTGATGTGGGCGCCCTTAGCTTCCCCCTAGCTCGGACTTCCTAAGGATTCTGCAAACACTGTGTACTATCGGGGACTTATTAGCAATTAGTGAAGTTTAAACATCTTTCCTACTTGTCCCCAGGGTCACTTTAGACAGTGAGGGGTATTCTCTTTAGTAACAAAAACTCCAGGTGTCCTTTCAGATTAAAACCTGAGTGAGCGGCTCTTACCTCCTGTGACTGGTTGAAACAAATTACCTGCAGGGCAGAACATGACACGTCTGGGGCACGGGGCAGACTGGGAGAGCGGGTGAGAGGGGTCGAAGGTGCCAGCAAACTGGGGAGGGACTGGGGTCGGGCACATTAGAACACCGCTCTCGTGCGGTGGGCTCCGTGTTAAGTCTATGCTGTCAGCCTCTTCAGGGCACTCAGGACGTCCAGGCACCGAGTTAGCTCAGGCTTCTGCAACGTCCCTGCGGCCTGAAACTCTGGACCACGAACGTCTCCCGTAGTCTGGCGAGGCCCCTGGACTCCATTCTCGGAATGTTTTGTAATGTGTAAAATAAAATACAAAGGACTACAAAGGAACCAATTACATGGAAATACTGCTGTCAAAATGTAGAGAAAACAATTTCATGACAGCCTAGTATATGTGCTTCTTTTTTAACAGGCTCAGGGACAAGACCTAATGGCAAGTGCACGGAATGAGGAGCATAAGTGACATGGAGGGACATCTGTGTGATGTCTCCTGGAACCTGCAGGCACTGCTAAGACTGCTTTTCTTTCAACATTCATCAAGGAAAATGTGAAACGTCCATTTGAGTGCTGTGACAAGGTCACAGAGCCTCTGAATGAATGCCACCCACAGATGCCAGGTTAAGAATCCCTGAGCCAAACGAAGAGCTGTCCCAGGTGCTATAGCAGAGACCAACCTCCAGGAAGTTCATGACAACGAAGAACAAGCACAGGAAGGCGGGCGCAAAGAGCAGACGCTCCAGGAGCAGCCTCTTGACGGCCGCCAAGGGCACCTCGGGAGGGATCCAGCGCTCCATGAGCAGGTAGAAGTAGTGACTCAGCGGCCCTGTGAAGAAGAACCTGGGCCCGCGGGGTGAGCCGGACTGCCGTCCTGGGTCTAGGCCCCCAAACCCCAGGTCCCAAACCTGCCTCGCTGCGGTCCCTCGGCACTGACCACACAGGCCTGTGGTCCTTCTAAAAAGTATTCTTTCCCTGATCGGGTTCAAGCGTTCCTTTTGCCGCTGACAGAGCAGACCCGTTCCTGCCTTGGAACACTGTCGGCTCAGTTCCTTCCTGATCGTTCTCAGTACTGAACCCACCACTGTCTCTGTCACTCTGCCCCAGGGCGTCTCTCACTGCTTGTCACGATCTTATTTGTTTAGTTTACTGAGCACCCTCTCTTCGTCCCCGAGAAGGCAGACGTCAGGGCATCCTGTCTGTCTGCTCACTGCTGGTCTGCAGTGCCTAGAGCAGGGCCTGGCTCAGAAGGTGCTCAGCAATAAAGAAATGGGCCCGTCCCTGACGTTAGAGCTTTTCGTCACACTTTCTCAGGGATCAGCAAGGGTGGAACGTGGCGCCGTGTGCCAGCTACTCTGCGTTGCTGCTCTGCATTCCGAGAACAGAGCCCGGCCACCACACCTACTGGGACAACAGACCAGCAGCTCCATAAAATTCAAATAAAAAGATGGGCAGGGACCCAGGGGTCTTCCAGCTCCGAGGCTGAGAGTCTTTGAACAGTGGTCCCCGCTGTTTCCCACCTGCTGTGGAACGCTAAGGGGCCAAGGGCAGGGTTCTCAGTGCGAGGAGGAGACGGAAGTCCTGAGGGTGGAAAACTACTTGCATAGGGCCCCCCAGTGATTCGGAGAGTACCCCTCTTGGGGGCGTTACAGCTTTAAATGCTTACGGATAAGCATTTAAATAAGCATTAACGTGATGACTGACGTTAACAATGCTTACAAGTCCAAAAATGATATCTGTGAATTTCGAATTGGAAAAAAAATCACCCTTGTTGCAAAAGACTTCAAAATAACACACCTATACAAACACTATTGTTGGCCATAGAACTCGGCAGATTTAACTGGTAAAACTTCTGAATCTCTGTGCTTTTGCATTTCAAAAAGTGGTTCCGTAGCTGGTCACCTAAGTATTTCTTTTCTGGATGTTTACGCTGTGAAAGTAACTGGGCATACTTGAGCCTGTTTTCCACTTTCAGGATCTCTGAGTCTTGAAGTCTGACTTTAGGTTCAGGTGAGTTACCTGCCCTCAGTTCTCTCAGCCCAAGGAAGATGGCCACTCCCACCCACACAATTAAAAATAAAAACCATACGAAACTATAAAATAAGTAAAATTAACATTAGCCACTGTTCTCATTTTTTCCCATGATTACTTCAATGCTTTAAAATTTTATTCTAATTAGATTATTCCAGAAGCTTGATCTCTATACGCTAGCTTTGCTGTACTTAGTCAGCTAGTGGGTAAACCAGCCCCTTCATGAAACTCACCCAAAGATGGCATATCTGACAGGGCCACTGACATCTGGCTTTTGAGAGCACCCTTCTTTTTTCCACTTCTTAATCATCTGGGCCAGTAAGTTCCCAAGTGCAGACAAAATGCCACTGTGGACAGAGAGGTAATAAGAAAACAGAAGCAACTAGCAGGCATCTGTCCCTGCATGCAGTTAACACGACTGTTCTGACACCATGCAGGGGATGGGGACACAAATCCTTATTAAAGCAGCTGCAGGGTAAGGTCCTTGCATCAAAGGATGGAGATAGCAGAACTTCACACACGTACTCACGCACGCACGCACACACGCACGCAAGATCTCCAACTGGGGGACTGTAAGAATGTCTGAATCCCAAAGGTGATATTATGACTGTAAAAGGTTACCATGTGTGGGGGGAGGCGTGTGTGATGAAGGGGCACCAGCAGGGGTCCTCACGGTGAAAATTTCCCTGTGGTGTTGGATACACAAACCCACACATGTGATAAAACTGTATAGAACTAAACACACACACACACACGTGTCCACGGGTGCAAGAAAAGCAGGGGAAATCCGATCTGCGGGCTGTATCCACACCAGTGTCCTGGTTGTGATGTCGAATTAGTTTCATAAAATGTTCCCAGTGGGGAACACTGGGCAAGTGAACATCTCCCTGTATTATTTCTTACAGCTGCATCTGAATCTACAATTATCACAATAAAATTTCCAATAAAAAGATGGAGACAGGCCCAGTCACTCTGTGCCTTGGTATATAGCTGCCTTCTGACCTCTCAGAGCTAAAAAAAATCAAAAATTCTTAGTGTGGGCAGTACAGACGTTGACCTGATCCTTGGCTAATTCTTTCTCATCCTCTCCCTTGCCCACTGTTCATTTTCTCAGGGACAAAGACCTTTCCACGCTTGCTCCTCCCTCAGGACCTTTGCACGTGCTGTATTCTCTGCTGGAGAGCTTTTGCCTCCCTTCTTTGCTTGGCCTGTGCCCTCCCTTCATTCAGGCCTCTGTTCACCTGTCACCTCCTCAGATAAGTTCCCTGACCACTTTATCTGTGTTATATATTTACCTGCTTTCTGTCTAGTTCTTCACTAGAATGCAAGCCCTATGAGGGTCCCCTATCTTAATCACTGCTGTATGCCCGGCACACAGGAAGCACGCTGTGTGTACTTATGAAAGGCTGAATTAATAAAAGGGAACAAACGTGAAATTAGTTAACTAAAAGTAATGAAAGGGGTGATGTCTCAGAAAAAGTTGTGTTCCAGATCAAAGGGCGGAGCTAACCAGCAGCACCCGGGGTGCTTTGTCAGCTTCTCCCAAATGCAAAGCTAAGAAAACAAATCTGAACTCCTCCCACCCTGCTACGCCTTCCGGGGCCTTTCTAGGCTCCCCGCGCTAGTTCTCGAAACAAATGCAGGGATTAACAAGCAGTGCGGAGCGGGGCTGGTGGGACTGCCCCCAGCCCAGGCCCCATTCCCCGCGCGGACGAGGTCTGCAGAAGCCCTCCTGGATTTTGTGCTCCGCCGTAGTCTGGCTTCCTGGTGCTCAGTGGAGCCTAAGAATCACTGTTCAGAGCCGAAAGCACGAAGCCGCACGTGCTGAGCTCCGCAGGTCGCTGTCAGCCGCGGGCTCCGCTTTTCACACAAAGCCCCCTACAGGAGGCGTCTGTGCAGCTGGGTCCCCCCGCCGTCCCCGCGCCGGGCCGCCCCGCGCCCGGTCCCGTCCGCTCCGCGCCGACCTGGTGGCCGC